TTTAATTATTTATTAAATTATGAATAAAATATGAGTTTTGATTTTTTCCAATTATTTTTGATCCATACTGTATATTAATATAAACTTTTATCTTATTTTATCAATTAGTTATTAAAATATAATAAAAAATATTAAAATATTAAAAAAACAAGTTTTTTTGTCTCATATTTATTTTCTTTTAGATATTAGAAATAATATAACAATTACAAATATTATAGGTACTCTTTAAATGCAATTTCTTGAGATCCATGTAAAAAATTTTAAAAGCAGCACTAGAGAAAATTCGTATTTAAAGAGGAAAATATAATACTCAAGGATGTAAGCAGAAAAATAGATATTTTAGATGCATGTGAATAATGATATTTGTGTATAAGACGTCTTTTTTAGACGAATCCCCATCAATTAATTTTTTTACATACAACTTTGACCAAATCGGATTCGGCTAACTATATAACATGAAATCTTTAATGGCACCTGAAGATCAGATCATGATCACTTGTGAAAACTCTGGCGTTAATAAGCGTATTAAAATCAGCAAATCAACTAAACTCGTAATTCAAAGATGACATAATTAAATCTTCAAAGGCTATATAAATATATGTCAAATTCCATCGTTTGATTTCCTGGATATTTCGAAATTATGTTCACACGTATTACTTCATTATATATACCAAAAACCCGTTTGATAATTAAGTCAACCAACCGTCCTATTTTCACTTCACAGTTTTTATCGAGAAATGGCGAATTATTAAAAATGAAAAATGTTCCCATAATGAATCTTAGGCATCTTGATGTAGAAAGGCGCATAGTGAGTTCAATAGGGAAAATTCAAGTTTTCCCTAGAAGGGGGCATAATTCTCAAAAAGACCATAGCTCTCATTCTGGATTATCCGCCCTGCTAACCGAACCAAGTAAATCATCCTTTCGTTTAATGTTATCTATTAAAAAAGAATTATATACCGGAAAACAAGTGGCCTTTAAATGATAATTTGCTTACGGATTTCTTAATATCCTTCAACAAGGAAGTCGAGGAACGAAAATAACATTAATAGGATTAGGTGCAAATATAGGACTAACGTTTGTAAAAGGTGTAGCTGGTTGGTAGGTTCATCGACACTTAACGCATTTTTTTCCATGAGTATTTTGAAATGATATATTATATTCTTTCCAAAGGGTGATGAATTCTGCATCTTTGTTGGCTGATGCCGCACACTCTCTAAGTGGTAGGTGTTTAATCCCACTATCCTAAAATTGTAAGCATTTATATAATTTTGCATCGTAATTGTTATTTATTTTACATACTAACTCTTTCGTAGACTTGATTAGTGATTTTGTGACATTATATACTTTTCAAAAATCAAGAAAACCTCCGGATGCAACCCATCCTTATGGTTACGGTAAGCGCTAACGTGAACTTAACCAATATGTCCAGATTTGCGCGATTCGATTTAATCCAAATGCATTAAAAATAAAAATAGGCAAATACGAAACCGTTGGTTCTCTTGCAGTATCTACATTACTAATTTTCGGCGCGTTAGGCATTGGTTATCATTCTTATGAGCTTTTAATAAGCGTCATTCCTCCCGATGTGTCATTTGATCTCAATAGCATCGGTGCTATCCAAGACAGTTTCCATCAGCGGCCACAGTTAAATCCGAATGCTGCGTGGTTTGCGACAGCTTCGGTATTGGTGAAGGAGGCGTTGTATAGATCAAGTAAAATTATTTGATCTTTTTCTGAGTCGTATTAGGATTTAAATTAACCAAGGATTTTTAGCGATTAAAATTGGTTTGGAAGAAAGATCCGATGTTTTGGTGGCCAATGCATGGTAAAACTCTAAAGTTAATGAAATTTGACTTTTATTAAAACTCTTAATGATGCCATTTTAATACAATTCTGTTTCAGGCATCATCGAAGTGACGCTGCATCTAGTTTAGTGGCATTGGTTTCAATTGCCGGAAGTTATATCGGTTTTCCATTTCTCGACCCATTAGGTGGTATCCTAGTCGCTGGGATGATTATGAAAAGTGGAATGGATATTTTGATTTCATCTTTGAAGGAACTGGTTGATGTACGTGTAGAAGAAGATGTCATCAATCACGTTAAACACGCAATTCAAAGATTTCAGGTGAAAATAAAAGTTTCTACTCTCCACTTTACTCTGTACTTTCCTTAACATAAACTTATCTCCTCTTGTCTTCCTAATATGTTACTGGGTAGTATGAAGAACCGAATATCACAAATTTCCACAGTATAAGAGGGCGAAAATCCGGTCCATTTTATTTAATTGATATGGTGTTACAAGTTAAACCAGATCTAACTGTTGCCAGAGCACATCATATCGAAGAGGAGGTACGAAAAGCAGTCAAAAAAGAGTGTCAGAGTGTAAAAGAAGTTCTAGTGCATTTGGATGCAGATGATCATGGACCACACCACTAATTATAAACTGAACAATGCTCTGATGGATTCGAATGAACGTAGTAACCACCCTCAAACCGCCTGTCTAAGCTCTATTGAGACATTTCAATCGACAGTTATTGTGTTAACCTCTCAGTCTCTTTATAATATTAATTATGTGTTAACTTCAATTCTGAAAAAGGCAAAGTGCAATGTACCATATCGTAGCCTTAATTTAAAAACCGTCAACTCTTATGGATTTAACTTATCGCTGTTCTAGCAAATGAAAAAATATATATATTAAATTTTCTGATACAGCACATGTTGATAGTATATTTTTCAAAATAATTTTATTAAGCATTATACATGTTTTCATATACCTTTATATTTTTTACAAAACAATTAATACTAGTTTTACTTATATATAAATTTTTTGTTTATTCTTAGAAATACAACAAATAAAATAATTGTTTTTATACTATTGAACAATATATTTCTAAATAATTGAAATGAAGTTTTGTTAAGAAAAAAGTATAAAACTAATTATATTTTTGAATCTATCTAATTTATACCTTTTTTATAATATAAATATTGCAAGATAAAAAAATTCTTTTTATATTAATATAAAGATATTATCAAATTGTTTTTTTTTTTAATATTATATTTTTTTCCAAAAATTTACTTATTAATTTATTTATTGATATAAACATTTGTCTAATACATTTATTGATTATATATATTATACTTGAATTAATTTTTCTTGCATAATTTTTATTCTTTGTTATATTATATTATTTTTTTAAAAAATTTTTTTAAATTATAATATAATATAAAAAGATTAATATTTAATATTATTGAATTTCTTTACTTTATAAAAGATAAATTGGTTTATATTATTGGCTTTTTATTAAAAAAGTTATTTTATATTATTATTATAAGATAAATAAAATATAATTATATATGTTAATTATTAAAAAAGTTATTTTATATTATTATTATAAGATAAATAAAATATAATTATATATGTTAAATTAAAAAAAAACTCTTTCCCGCAAATCTCAAAATTCCTAAAAATTTCCTTTTTTGGCAATTCTCTAAAAACACTCCAA